GCTGAATGACCATTTCTATTACGGATAGTATTACATTAAACAGCTAGCCAACTAGCTGACTAAATTTAAACAATAATTCTACAAGTGGTGGAGCAATAAATCTCAAATGTGTTTAAAGGTAAAACTCAGTACTATCCAGCAGTTATTAATGTTTGCACAAAGCTACTTGCAGTTCTTGGCATCTGGCTACATTCCATTGTGATTTTATCCATCGGGTTGATTTTATTCACGTCTTCACCAACCTGTTGTGACGTGGGGCATTTAAAAGCCAGTAGCTTAGGGTATTACAGGCCCTTGCTATTCTATTCCCACACATTGCCCTAATTTCAGCTGCCAGCTTGTATTGAGATCTGAGTTTGTATTCAACAAAAGGAAAACACAAAAAAATGTGAAAATAATTTTCCAGGATGACAACGTGTTGTTCTAGGACATTGCATAATTTATCCATGATTTTTCCATGACTGTAAAACTGGTTTAAAAAATTCCAGGTTTTCCAGGATGCATGGGAAGCCTATGCTCCCTATTACGATTAGAGCAACAAATACCAAAACTTTGGCTTCCTTTCATTCTGTGCAGAGTAAAAATACTATAAATAAGACAACAGACTGACCACAGAACTCCAGCAGATATTATTCTTTTTCACTCACTAGTCCTTGGTCTCTTTGTCCCACTCTACCACAATCTTGACATGTGGTGGTCCCCCTTGTCCACAGGACTTGTATGCTCTGTAGTGGAAGCAAAACAGTGGGAGACAAACGAAGTCATTCAGGCAGGTGTAATTTATAAGAATCGTGAGTCAAAGGTTGAAACATTCTGTAATTTTGCTTTGCTGCGGTGACAGGTTTGTGTTCAGACAGTAAAATATTCAAAGACATTCCAGTTGGTATATAAGCATCAATCAATCACAGCAATGATTTCAGTTTCATTCACACACCTTTATAGACAGCAATGTTGTGACTTGTTTTATTATTGAGAACTGAGGCAGGTAATAAGCCAAACATGCTCAACTGGCATTTTAACAGTCAAAATCCTGTTGGGACATGTCATCTCCCTGCCTTTGAGAGGAACAGAACTTATGACACAAATGTGCAGAGAGAACAATAAAAGAAATTTTGGCCTCACCTCATTACCCATAATCATGTCTTACTATTGTTTTCATTTGCATATACAGTTTTGCTTTAATTTCTGCCTGCGACTGACATTCATGCTGAGAACTCTGAGACACTCGGGCTTGAAAATAGCTAGACATAAATAATTCACCCCTTTGAAAATAATTAGTGTTACTATGCACAAGCTATTTCAATTTACAAATAGGTTTCAAATCTCTTTCATTCAAGAACTGCATTTCCCTGGCTGCATTCCAATGGATACAATGTCTGGCTGAGCATGACAGGACAGAAAAGAATAAAAAAAAATCAGATCCAAAAGGAAACAAAGTAGAGTCTCTTCTGATTCAATATCAATAAGAAAACGGAACCTTAACAGTATTTTATTTACTGTTTTTCCACCTTTTCAGCATGGAAGGCAGTGAAAATGATTATGTTTAATGCCAACAGGCTGAGATTTACAGGCATTTGATATACAGTAAAATACCAACACTGACCTTTCCACAGTTGGGTGACACAGTGGTCGCTCATCTTGGGGAAGGAGGTAGGTGATACCAACAACGCCAACCACTCGGAGACTGAAAGGTCCCACCTACACACACACACACAGACAAAGGGTTACATAGACCCACTACTGTCAATAATCCTGAAGACTAACAGGGCTGATTAATTTGACCATTTCACTGTGGAAGTTCATAATTGAAAAAAAAATAGCATATCCATTCATCTGTTCTATTTTTTTTTTTACTGCCTTACTATGTGAAGCATCAAATTATTCACTGCCCATTCAATATAGCCCTTTTCCTACCTGAATGTAGACCCCAGGCCTCAAAAGATGACGCATTTTCTCCAGGATCTCTTTTTGTAGGGCATCCCAGGTCACAGTGTGCTCCATGTAGAGTACAAAAGGCAAGCCAAACCTAAAACAACATAAATGTGGACAGCTGCTATTAGGTGTTATGAACTTCCCCCTCGCAGCTACATCAATAGTCCCATTATTAGGGGAACTACCACAAACAAACTGGGTGTTGGGTTATAATGATATGGCACAAAGATGGGAAAGGGTCGTGTTTCACAGACAAGGTACCACCATAAGATTCTGTACCTCTTTCCTTGGTGACCGGTACAAGCTCTGTTGCACACCAAAAGGATCATTTTCTCTGGTCCCAGGTTTTTATTGGGCGATGCAGTTACAGGAGTCATGGCCCCCTGCATGAAAGAAGGAGTCCTGCTGATTTCTGTCCCATACTTCAAGTTGTTATGATTCAGGTTGGCCAGAAGATTTCCTGTGAAAAACAGAAGGAAAAGCTTAGACTGTTCCCCATCTAATCATTTAAGTGTGAAAAGCAGGATATCTGCAAAACTTTAAGAAAGAGTTGCCTCTTTTTGTGCGTATGTTTTCCAGTTTGAAGGTCTCTGGTGTCTCAAAGGCAAAGATGGAATCGCTTTCTTGAATAATGTCCAGATCGTCGTCATCATCACAAAACGAGCGATGAAAACCATCATAATACATTTCAGTCAAAACAAACTGAAAGAGAAAAAAAAGGTACATTTAAAATGTTTGTTTTAATATTGTTATCCCAGAAGCAACACAGTCATCGTCATCGAACCTATTCCACCTTAGCTGTCGTTTACTCTCATGGCATTTCAGTCTGACATTTTACATCAGTGTTAGCACTCTGTTGTTGCAGCCCTAAGGACAACTCTCCAACTGTGTATTGAACTCCTATAAAAAAATAAAAAAAACCTGGGTTTATAAGAAACTACTGCTCAAAGGTAAAACCTGCTGCAGGAAACACTGAGCTTACAATGTGCGACTGTAATATAGTTTCACTCTGTCTGACCCTGAGCTGGTAAGTGACAGGAATAGCACCTGGTCCATTGGGATCTTGGTCTCACGTGACACAGCATCTCTGAGGCAATACACGGTGCTTTTGAGTGGCACAGCAACTCCAATCCTCATACAGTGAGAGTACTTCCCCTGGTAGACCACCGTCACATACAAGGGCCTGGCAAAAAGAAAAAAGTACTGCTATGAAATAGTTTTCTATGTAAGCAAGGTTTGTCCTACTTCAAGGCAAAGATGTACTTTTATTATACAGTAGCCATAAGAACACCTTGACATAATGCTCTACAGAACAAAGAACAACATTTTTAGCATATCTTTCCTCCTTTATTCTCTGGTCTGCAGAAACCCCTAAAATGATAGCCCTGTTGTTTTGGTTTGAACGCTCATGCCGGTTCACTGTTGATTACTGTATAAACCTTGTAAACCAGTAATAATTAGTCATAAACCTGTTAACTGATTACTCCCTGTGCTGAGAAAAGTAACTCACCGCGTATGTGGTAGTGGGATCGGTAAGGAGATACAGAGGAAGGGATCAAACGTATTGCTCTGCTTTTGGCAATGTGGGCAGGTGAGAGAAGACCTGTTGGGGAAAATAATTAAATCTCTTAATACAGCAAACAGATAATGTGGCCACATACTCTCAGAAGACAGAGCTTCTACTGAACAAAAAGACTACCTGTACTGAGCCTGAAACAGCTCTTGTACGAACGACCCAGCCGAGAGGGGAGGAGATGGCCCCTCTGTGGTTTGGTCATCTTCTTCAATGGGTGGCTGAACAAACACAAATAGGTTTAATTATTCAGATTACTCAGATAAGCTGAACAACAAATACCAGTCTATCAGGTTTAGAACCTATTGTGAAAGCCATACGGCCTTCAGATATGATGTTATTAATGCCAGGAAATAAGAGGAAACAAGATCGGACAAGTGTAGTTTAACTGGACTGTGAAAGCAGCTCATTTAAAAGATTCACTGAATGACCAGAATTATACTGGTGAAATATGATGCAATGGAACAAAATAGGCCTGCAACAGAAATTAACATCAATTACTAAGGATGTAGCAATACCAAAAACTCACAGTACACCACTGACACAAAATGAAGAATAATATTTTAAAAAATGTCCTTTACTAAATAATAAATTGAAGTTTTTGTATGATTTACTTTTACCTTAAGCTGCTCCGGCTTTCCTTTATTAAAATAAAAGTATCCAGCCATGACCCAAGCATGTGAAAAAAAATTGCCATGAATTGTCATTTGCACTGAATGACTGAACTGTTTGTACAATTGCAAAACAAACAATGCAGCAGTCCTTTTATAAAATAAAATATCACTGCAACATCATTGGAAAATCAGTGTTATAGTATTCCTTTGGCAGGTTTAACTTTGGTTGGCGTTGTGCCAACTGGTGACTGGGTTCTCAGAACTGGACCAGTTGAAGCGGGTATCTCCCCGACCACTGGTGACAGTAGTGAGCAAACTGCTGCTTGGCGCACCAGTACAAAAGGAAGATGCCAAAGTACAAGGAAGCCACATAAAGATGAAATTTGTGCTGTACTGGATGTGTTTTTCAAACATGGTCTACTTTTTCAAGAGAAAAGACTTTAAGGGTCTTTAAGAGCAGTTAATAAGTGGTTGGTTTTGCATCAGGTTTGTTTGCTCATCTCTGTTAAATTATGGCACACAGCCTTGTCCTGACTGTTTCTGCGAGATATACAGTATCTGGGACTGTCTCAGTCCTAAACAGGGCTGGTATTGCCTCTGTCCAGCAGTATTTGCAAATTCTTTGTCAGCTTCCTTTCCATATGTGTCATTTCTTGGAACAGGGAAACCGAAATACTGCCACACAACAGTTCTAGAAGCTGATGATGCAGTATCCACTATGTCAGTTTCAAATTCTGTGACCTGACTACAGCTATACTAGCAAAATAACCATATGCAATATCCTGGTATATACTGTCACAGTCCCACAACAGTATTGAGACAGTTACAAATGGCATTACATCCCTATCAGATACCCTCCAAAGGTTTTTTACATTCACCTTTATAGCAGGCCTGCAGTTGGGGTTGACTGTGTTGAGGTCCTCATGTACTCTGTCCAACAGCCAGAGCAGAAACTCTTGAGCATCATGCTGAGCGTTTCCTTTAAACGTCAAAGTGAGCCAAACAGAGCAGCATATGAAAAGAAAAAAAAAAAAAAAAAAAACACTTATATGACCCTAAATATTTAGATCATGACATTTGATTGATTGGATTGTAACGTTTATTTGTGCACTGTCAAATAAACTATCAATACCAGAATTTACAACATGCATCAAAAGAGGCATTTTCCCCACAGTCAGTGCAGCAACTGGAACAGCACTAATTAATTTTTAAAACAATTTCTCATTCCTTATTGCACAGGTGTGGTGTAAAGAGGACATAACAAAATGTAGAACCTGTGAACACTTCACACATCTTGCACTTCTGCAGTGTACTGTCAAATTCTTCCCTTTTTCAAAGTCATCCTTAATGTCACTGCCTCTCATTAACATTCGTATCACTCTTACCTTAAAATCCTTGCTATGCTGGGGAGTATACTCAAATGTCCATAAAGCCCGCACAAGACCTGACAGCTGCTCTGTAACTTCTCCTTTGGCCAGAGAACCCTTCTTCTGCAGATGCACGCCATTCGTCTTTGGTTTGTCCTCATCCAGCTCTTCGCCTTTGTAGTGCTCCAAAACGAGGTACTCAGCAAAGAGCTCAGTGTTACTGAGGCACTGCAGAATTGCATTCATGAAGCAGGTATTCCCGTGGTTTTTGAGACCCGACACTCCAGGAACTCTCTCTCCAGACAGGAAACCCCCCAAGTCCCCGTCGTCCATAGGCACATCTTTATTTCCAGATTTGAAAGTAGAAAACCCTCCATCATCTTTGTCATCCTCTGTGTGTACCTCAGATCCAAAGTGGGATAACGCTGTCAGTGTCCTTAGGACTCTGCCCATAAAGCTGCCCACGGAGCGCACCGAGCCTCTTCTGAACAGCTTCTTGCTGAAACTCGATTTCTTGTCTTTTGTTGCGGCTTTGCAAGACATTATTTCCCCTTTCACAGGCGTACAAGTCAAGACAATGAGAAAGTTAAGTGTCAGTGCATAACACGAGCCATTTGACTGGCCCCAATCTGCTGCTCCATCGTAAAACGTATAAACAGCAGCGACTCTAACTACTTAACGGTAAAGCCCGCGCTGTGTCTGCTGCCCTTAGCTCGTAATAACATTTCACACGAGCTATCTTTTAAAGCAAGCAGTGATAGATGTTAAATTTCACTAGACAAATAGGGTTAACATGTCATTACAACATCGCTTAAAATGCTGGCTGTAACCGAATGAGTATCAGATAAAAAGTGTAGGATAAACATCACTCAGGTCGGTTGTTTATTACCGTAGCTCGCTCCAGAGTTTCCTTGTTTTTGCGGTGGAACTTATTGCCCCGTAGCAATGAATCAATATCGGTTATGCTGAGAGCGAAGATAGCCGTGTTAGCTAGTCTAGCTAACGCTAACGCTAGGTACAATAACAAGAGCCACAGTCCTCTTCGGCTAAGACGTCCAAATCCAGCAGAAAATGGTAGTCCGCCATGGCGTGCAGGTAAATGGCAGTTAAACTATAGAATGCGTTGGAAAATTGGTTAACCTCACATTTCTCACATTTTTGGAGGTACATTCGGCCAAATAACAGAATCGTTTTACTTCCTCTTCTTCTATTGTTTGAGTTGGCAGCTAGTCAGCCACTCTACAAGCGCGTTACCACCACATAGTGGCCGCTTTGCATATCACAGGCAGGGGATACATTTGAAGAGCTCATGACATGCTTTTCTGTGTTTTCGGACCTTACTACAATGTTAGACCTATTAATTATAATCTTAAATTGAAAGTCAGTCCTGCCAAGTGCAGTCACCTTGTTCAGTGTTTACCCTCTGTGTTAGGAGAGAGCTCTTCTCTGACACAAAGTGGTTTATATCCACTTTAATGTACAGCCTTTCAGAAAATACACCCTAATCACACTAAAATACATGAAAATATTTAATTTATATTTTCCTTATTTCTTTTTACTTTTTATAGTTAATTTTCTCTGTATGTAGGCTACATTTGAAACTTACCCATGGCATACTTTCGACTGTAGGGGGTTATGTGGATATGTTGTAGGCTACATTTGAAACTTACCCATGGCATACTCATTTCCGGCCATTTAATGTTAAATCTCGGGGACCTCTGCATGTACAGGGACTCACTGTTTTACCTGACCTGATCTAAGTAATTATTTCAGAATGATAAAACTTGATATCAAATGAAGAGCTACCTCCTGAAAATGAGAGGATAGTTTGGGAAAGTGCACAGCTCTTCTCGCTGGTCAGGAAGCCAGGACAATGCATAAACAAAAAACACTTTGACAGATAAACTATGTTTTCAACAGTGACAGTACAACAAATTATACCTGACATGTTTGAGCTAGAATATGAATGTGGACAGCACCATGAACTGCAATAGCATTAATTCATTTAAAGCTCTCCTTCATAGATAGGTAAACAACGGTGCATACCGATGAACAGAGATGTGTAACACTAAACAAAGCTGGTAATTGAGAAACCCCATATTTTAAGTGGCACAATGCAGACATAGTAACTTCTCCAGCCTTACAATTCTCTCTACAGAAACAACGCATTAACAGACATGCAACATGTGTGTGTTTTTTTAACCTACGGTTACATCCCACTGAGTGGTGAAAACTTTAAGGCTGGTAAATCCAACCGGTGATTGTCTTCCCTGACAAAACTTTTACATTACAGGCGACCACATACATTCCCGGCAGGTAGCGTTGCACTGACAATAACATCATGGATTGTTAGAATCCTCTCGCCAACCCACAGCACATCCCATGTGGCAGACACACTGGCCTTAAGCAGTCAAAACTAACAGGTACTGTTCTCCAGGGGAATCCAGCGTTGATGAGCTGATCATTCACCACTCCAGGGTGCTTCACTGACCGGCTGCCTGTAGGTTTCCAGCTGCTCCATTCACACCATGTTAGATCAGGTCAGGTAAAACAGTGAGTCCCTGTACATGAACATTCAGGGACATGCAGTAACCTCAGGCCCTGTATTTTTCTCCACATCCTCTGGTCACAAAGCAGGCAGCAGAAACATATCCACATAACCCCCTACAGTCGAAAAATCCTGCTTTTAGAATGGCTGTCAGGCAAGCTGGCTTCATGCCAAGCTTTTTTCCCCAACTATGCATAAAACTTTGCATAGTTGGGAAAAAAGTTGAGAGTTCAACCGAATTAAAGAATTAAACCGAACTACTTCTGTATAGAAGCACAACAAAATAGGCACACCTGTACCGAAGCTGAAGTCTCTGTCAGAAAGTTCTCTGTTGTTTGGCCAGTAGGTCGTGGAACGGGTGTGAGGTGTCCCCCACCTGTTCAACAGTGAAGCATCCCCTTCTCCACAACCAACTTCTGAGGCCCCAGCAACATCCCCAGCACAGAGCCAGTCTTCTTCATCAATTTATTCAGTTTGCTGGTATCACAGTCTTATTAACCATACCTCACAGCAAAAACTTTGTAGAAGAATTCCACTGTCTGTAAATATGTATAACTAAGATATTTCTTCTTATTTTCAGCTGAGCTTTAGATTTGAAGTTATCACAGATACCAAAGGGGTAGTGTTGATTAATAACCCTTTTACGCTAAATATACTGAGAGAATCTGTGAAAGACGAGCCGACATTGCCTTTAGATGCTCTTTCAAATTATCTCATGTCCTGAATGAGGTAATATGGCAGTGGTGGTGATAAGGTGGCTTGTACAGAGGATTAATCAAGGATTATCACAGTAAATGACAGTGTTCATGTGTGAAAACAAAAATGCTTAAAAGTAAAGATGACTTCTCTTTATCAGTTCACCCTAGTGCCTGAGGGAGGCACAAGAGGCATGGGAAAGGAAGAAGAGACAGAGGTAGAGGATGTGTGTTAATAAAGTGAAAGGGTGATGAAATGTAGATGCACTGCTTTATCTGGGTTTCCATGTCTGTACACATCTTAAGTGTCAAATAGCATAGTCAGACTATTGCTGCCTTAATGATATGGCATGCACATTAAGTGGAGCTATGCGAGAACAGAAATACTAGTGTTTTAATCAAAGTGAATCAGACAATATTATGTTTCACTTTTTTAGGTAATTAGGAGGAGAAGATTGGTAAAAATAGTAGGGAGCGGGAAATACATCTACAAATATCACAAGGACAGATGGGTTTAATGATGCCAAATTAACCCAATGTAAAAAAAAATAGACTTGACACTTGCCTTTTATGATCAACTCGAGGTTGATTCACACTACCTTTACACTGTAATGTTGAAATATTACATGGGGTGACAAACCTCAGTTATATTCCTCAGAAACCGGGGCATTTTATAATCTGCATGTAAATAAAAACCTTGGCATTTTTTCAGGGTGAACTGACAAAGAGAAGTCATCTTTACTTTTAATCATTTCATCATTATGTTATTGCTCCACTAAAGAGACCAAGTGTGTTAAGAGAATCCAAAGTGTTTTTGTTGCGCTTGTTGTGTCAATAGCTACTCAGCACATTTTCTGAGATAATACATGTTGATTTTTGAGTGACAGTTGTTTGGTGTAGTCAACTGCTGAGTGCTTCTTCTTCTCACTGATAGTGTGAACTGTTTGCTATAAACACTCACACTTTTTAGTCCTGATTTTAGTGTGTAGAAATAAAACTTCGGTAGATGCCACTGTGTTGCCACACCGACAGATTCACAGCAGTAGAGAAAAGAGTTATCCCTCAGGTAAAGATTATAAGTCACAGGACTTTAAATGAGCCGCGCTTTGTGGCTCAGGCTGAGGTCAAGTTGGTCATAAGTTAGTTTTAGGGATTACTTTAAGTAATGATGCCACAGAATTGACACTGATTTGTTTGTCCCAAAATGCACCCAGACACTTGTTCTGCATAGCTATAGGTTGCAACTTATTGAAAACATATACGGCATATCAGTGATGCTGTGTATTGTGACATTAAAGTGAGGAAATTCTGCATTTTAAACTCCTGAATATCTTATTATTTATGATTTGAAAACAGGTTTTCACAGTTTCTCACATGCAAAACAAAGTAGGTCAAATCTGAGTTGCTGCATTTTTGAACATTTTGACAATTCCCTGAATCTAGGTTACATGATCATAATGTTCTCTTTGTGCTGTTTGAAAAAATATACACATTATTGGAAATTTGTCACATGCAATATATCCACTATGACTGATCCATTAAGTCAGAGCTATAAGATGATAATCTGATTAAGTGTTGGACAGTTTTGGTAAAAGTCAGTCGTGGTTATAACCAAATCCTGTGCTTGCTATTCACCGTCAACACTTCTGGGGGTTGGAGCCAGCTGGGAAAGTTCTCTAATGATGTGTCCATGGAAACAAGGCAAATGGTCGCATGTGTCTTATCAGTCAACAAGGAAAGGGAAAGCCTTCTGCTCGATTTGGTGAGATTTTAAAATGATGTCAAAACAAATCAAAAAGAAGTTTTTGTTTTTCCTCGTTAGAGCGTCAGATAAGGCTTCTGATGTAATTCATTTGACTCCAGCTTCAGATTCTTTGTCAGCTTGTTTTTGTAGGCTATTATTTGTCCCTTATTCACAGCTCTGGAGGCACTCTCATTCAGACATAAGAAAAAAAAATGCTGTCCTAACATGCGTTGGTGAGAAAATACCAAACAAAGTAAAAAAAAAACAAACCCTCAGGCCTTTATCTTTGGCAATTATCCAGGCCTGATGCACCAAACAATAAAGTATCAGTGAGCATTAGCTTTGTGCTGAAAAACAGTAGATGTAGGAATCATCCTGAATAGTAGACCACAGTTATTACCTTCTTGAATGCCTGTGTTTTTACCCCACCAGCTGGAAAGTTATACTGTTGTTTTGACCTTCACAGGAATGTGAAGACGCACCAAAATGACTTTTCAACCTTTTAAGCAATTTGGTGTTTACAGCAGGGATTTGCATCTACAGTACCTGTACCTATACCACACTTATTATTTCCATAAACAGACCAGATTAGATTTTTTTGGAACCTGGTCATTATACACAAATTTAATGATGATTGCATTAAAATTGGTTCCTATGCACATTATTTAGGTAAACACTGATAAGGGAGTTCCCTAATGACAGGATGCTGAGAAGGTTTGATTTTCTTGATGCTGATGAGTGAGTCCATTTGTGACTTGTCAGTCTTACACTATGAGAAGACTGCAGAGTCTTGTGGCCTTGTGTGAAATCATATCTATGCTTAGAGAGACGCACCTCTCCCCTGCAAGCATATAATTAATGTCTCTGTGCCTATTTAAAGAATTTTTGCACCTACCCTTCCGTTCATGTGTCCTAATGTGCAAACAGATTATTCAGAATATGTCTGACACATCTTCTGATACAACGTGCTGTGTATCATCTACAAAACCTTATTTGCATGTGTTGCAAATATTACTGTAAGAGTGTTACTCAGCTAAGCACTGACATAGAGCACATTTTCAAAACAAGTGGCAGTGCCAGAAATTGGTTTAGCACAAGTAACGCAGGGAATTAGATTGTATTTTCATTATTTAGATATCTTAATATTAATATTAACAAGTGGGACTTTATGGTTCAAATGGAATATTATAGTCCATACCTCCACTCTCCAATGTAATTATGATGAAGATTCAGAGAATTGACTCACTCTTTCTGGTTACCATGGCATGCTTAATATAATACTGTATAATAGTTCATGGTCTATATACTTTGCAGTAGCCTATAAAGTGACCAGCAACTCCCTCTTATTTGTTTGTGTGCTTGTTTGTTTGTTTTAATGGAAATACATAAAACATATTGTGAAGATTTCACTGGTATTATACAGCTATATCTGTAACCTGTTTAGTGCAGCAGATATTTACTATATGTATCATTTTTGACATTTGTTATACTCTGATTTAATTTAAAAAAAATGGATATAGCCTATCTTTTGTTATAGTTATAGAGACTTGTACTACTGTATACACAGCTACTTGGTCTGCTCAGTAGCACACTCCTTTAGCCTATAAGCGCCTATTAAATGTTTAAAAATAATATATAAATAGCATTGTTGAAGCACTGGAAGAGCTAATTAGGCAAAGGAAAGTAAAAATACATGATTCTCAGTCTGACTGACAGATGAAACTGCTCCCTTCTAACGCTTAGAGGATTTTTCTCGGCGGCATCCCTCAGCAACAGTCAGATGATGCCTTCAGGTGCACTCTGTAAACTTTTGTTTTTCATATCATTCCAGTGTTTTTGTTCTTTTGTTCAAGGTCCCCCAGTCAGTTAGCCAATGAACCCACTCGGAATACTGTACATGCATTTTATAAGAAATGCAATTAAAAAAAAAAAAAGTTAAAAGTAAAGCACCTAACAAAATATTTCCATGTAGGCTATTTGTTGTGGCAAAAAGTAGCCTAATCTATACACTAATTTCAATTTACTTTGTATTCATTTTTGCTTTTTGTAGTAAGCAATTTAATTATATTGCCTAATACTATGGCAGCGGCAGCGGGGATAGGTCTCTCACTGCCGTTTGTGCCTACGGGCCGAATGGCAGTGTAGAGTACCCGGCCTTCTTGAAGTCCCTGGGAGGGGTGCAGGAAAAAGGCCACGACTGGGGGCTACGTTATTCTAATGGGAGACTTCAACGCCCACGTGGGCAGCGATAGTGACACCTGGAGGGGTGTGATTGGGAGGGATGGC